TTTAGACGTCTTTTGAATGTACTTTTATGGGGAAATAATACTTAATTCGAAGGGCACTTTTCGTTTGATTATGCGCTATTTGTTATGATTTATATAGGAAATTCGCCTCGCGCGCAGTGTCTGTTGAAGAAAACTGGCACTAGGATCTTATGCGCAGGTCTTTGACTCCAGTTACCTCCAGATTTGAAGTCTTCGTGAAATTTGGCGCATTTTGATAGCAAATTCGTGTTTATTTATGGCGATTTAGGAAGGGCAAAATGTGCGCAAAGATGTGGGTTTTGCTTGTGTTTACAAGCTCATTAATAATTCAATTGATCTCGGTTGTAGAAGATGGCGAAGGGACGTCTTAGACTCAATATCTCCCTTATATGTCTTTATATATTGTATACCAGAATCCAGATAAGTGTTGAACAATTGTAATGATTTTGCGTTTAGTAAAATGTACTTTTTAGTTATTCGGCCTCATTATAATTGAAGTTTATGCTTGGGAAATCTCGAAGCGTGGGCTTTGGTCTCTCCGCCATATAATAATAATAATATTAAATAATGAACTTTATTTAAAGAAGGTATTACAAAACCAGTTCAGCATAGCTAATCTTACACTGAGCCTAAAATGGAGCGTCTGTAACTTCACATTGAGCGACTGGACACTAGTTCGAGCAAATGTTCATTCATATAGGGCGAAAGTTTGATATGAATATCATCAACAATAATGTATTTATGAGATGCACCCTACCTTATTATTTTACTCTGTCTAGCACCAGACAATTTTGCTCGTCTGAATTTGAATTTATATTAATTGACATTCGCTTTACATGGATTTTAGAAGAAATAATGAGTTATCTACTATGTAATGTTTACAACAATCTTATCAAAGTTATTGCGCGAACTAAAATTATACTACAGTAATTCTGATGTGTTTGGTAGGGGCGTGTCCAGAATATTTGTTTGTCCAGAATATTTATGAATTGAAATGATCAATTTTCTCATTTACATCACTAATATGATAGATTTCATGAAATGGAAGTTGAGACAGTTGTCACAATTCTGCCTTGAAACTCTCGCTACTTTTAACTGTGATGAAAAATTATGTTAATTTACATAAACTTTAGCTTTGATTTTCTCGGTTTAGACAAAGTTTATTTTAAAAATTACTTCACCAATGGACTCGTATATAAGATGAGTAGTTTTTTTAAGCCATTTAAAGCACTTGTAGTCGTGTTTTATCAGATATAAAACATTCCGCTACGCCTCACGTTTTAAATACGATAAAACACTCCTTCTCGTGTTTTAAATACTACTTCTCGTTGGATCTTTAATAAGTTGTGTCAAGTATCTAATAATATTTTAGACTCATAACAACTAACAAGATGTTTTAAGGAAATTGCAATTCATATCGCCCAAAATAATGATTTATTTTCCTAGTAACAAAGCCTCAATGAATTTAGGTCTAAGTTCATCCCGTATACATGTAGCTGGGCAGTCAGATTGTCTATAAGTAACGCAAACAATCATAGATTTGTTTTTATTCACTTCTATTTGTAACCAAAGTTGATGGAAACCTACTGGAGAAATATACGAGAGATTTTTCAAAACTTTTGTCTTGAAGTCATTACGGACGTAAATATATACATACGCCGCCACCCTTTTTGTGCTTACGATCAAGTCTGTATATGTTGTATTCCTGAATTTTTACCTCAGCATTAGTCATGGACGAATTTAGCCATGTCTCTGATTTGATGCCAAGATATCTATTTTCTCGTCAACGACTAGTTCTCGTCAGAGCCGCCGAGAGGGGGGGCGGCAGGGGGGGGGGGAAATTGCCCCGGGCCCCGAGGTGCTGGGGGCCCCTGAAAAATTTTTGTTGGGCCCCAGTCTTTTTTCTGTTTTAAATATTTCCGCGCAAAGGACAACATATCTGTTTTATTGGGTTAAGTACCGAAATTAGGCATAAAAAATGAGATAAAGCCCCTGGAAAGTGCGTGCAATCTACTCGTCCGGAAAATTTTTTGACCCCTAAAATGGTACACTGACCGAAATGTTTTTGGCGACGGGGGGGGGGTGTTGTCCGGAAAAAAAAATTTTTTTTTCAAAAAGGGGCCCCCCCCCGAAAATTTTGCCCCGGGCCCCCGCCAACCTCTCTGCGGCACTGGTTCTCGTACTTGAATTAAATGATTTCCGTTTCTAATTGACTGCACGTTGAGATGATCGAGATAACTTTATTTTGTTAAATAATGTTTTTGGTTATTCATTACGAGTGCTGCCACTCAATGGGTTATAATCAGACAATTTGCCCATGCACCCTGTTAACCTTAAAGTGGCAATGTGCCGTACTTTATTATTTCACTATGTCTATAAACACCAGGGGTCGGATGTTCAAAGGTGGGTTAGCGCTAACCCTGGGTTAAAATTTAACCTGCTGTTTTAGTTTGTGTATTTCTTCACGTCTGTTTATTTCAAAACTTCAGAGAAGAAAACTCCTATCGATCCAGACAAGATCTCTGAAGAAATATTTCCAAATTTATGGGCAAGCTGTCAGGAAGTTTGCTTTGAATTTTAGGTTAACCTAGGGTTGAGCTAACCCAGCATTGAACAACCGGCCCCAGGCGATTTTACTCGTCAGGGGGAGAGTTTGACGGTCAACCGAGTCAATTCCGAGTCCGAATCAAATCCGAGCCCGAGTCAAATGTCCGAGTCATTGTTCAATCGATGGTCTGATCTTTGCAGTTCAATGGCTTAGTACCTTAATCATAACCATAATCCCACTCCTAACTTACCCTAACCCTATTGAACTGTGAAGTTTATTCCATTTCGGAGTTTGTCGGTGACTGACCGACTCAAATCCGAGTTCGAGTCAAATGTCCGAGTCACTGTTTTAAAACTGTCTTTGTCGGTAAAATGACTTAGTACCCTAAACCTACTCCTAACCCTATTCGACTGTGAATTTTCTTCACTTTCGTCTTCTTTTTTTTACGCGACTCGGGCGTTTGACTCGAGCTCGGGACTGACCCGGACTCGGGAAATGGATATACTCCTCAGGGGGAGAGTGCTGCCACTCAATGAATCGCGGTTAATGCAATTAGCTACGTACAGCATTAATTTTATGACTATGTTAATAGATACGCAACCACTCGCCTTCAGTTCAGTTTTGTTTGTATATTTTATTCCACACGGCGGCTTGTATTGAAAATATTTTGTCATTGACATTGAATGCATTTGTTTGCATTTTGCTATACTGGTTAGGTTGCAATCATCATGGCGATTTGGGGTGTGCTGCTGTTTATCGCTGGCTGTGTTATGGCAAACGCAGCTCGAAAGTATGAGGTCGATGAGCATTCGTTTAAAACTAAGTCTGGTGAGACATATACTTTCACATTTTGTGATCTTCTTAAAATTGATCAGGCTGGATGGCCTAAATTTGATGCCAGATGTGGTCATCTTATTGGTGCAACGGTAAGGCTGGCAATTATTATGTCCAATTAACAAAATTTCTTGTTTGTGTCCCACAACTTTGTACTAAGTTCTTTGTGTGATTGCCGGCATGGTGATAAAATATATAACGCTTTTTGTTTGTGGAAACACCACGTAAATTTATTAATGCAAAGCTTTCGATCCGTAAGCCGATCCGGGCAATAGTTTATTTGAAGAAGTTCAATTTGGCTGCACACGTTTTAAATAGAGATGTGCCAGCTAGTAGCCTACCTGGATAGTATCTAGGGAGACGGTGGGTGAGAAAAAGGGAGCTCAGGTCCCAAATTAACAATTTGCTTTATTCAAACAAAGTATCAAACTATAAAACTATATAAACTAACTATTGATATATTAATATTGGACGGGCGGACCATTAGAAAAGTGTGTGTGTGTGTGTGTGTGTGTGGGGGGGAGAAAAAATTAAAATCGCGCAGGGGGAAAATGAAAGAAAATTCATGCACCAAGAAAGATTGAAAAAATTCGTGCAGGACTTTTCAATAGGGAAAATTATAAATGGAAATAAAAAAATTCGTGCAAGGGATTATATTTAAAAAAAATTATCGACAAAAGCAAAACATTAAGAAAAATATTCGTGCAAGTTGGAAAAGTCCCCCCCCCCCTCATCACTATTCTAATAGTCTGCCACTTAGTACTTTGAACTAGTGGTGTGATGCTATCTTGAATTCCAAAACTTCAAAGACCGGTCTAGCAAACTTTGAATACGTCGAACATTTAAAAGCAAGAAAAATTTAAATTTCGCACCGCTGGCGCTGTTGACCACGTGCACCCACGTGCACACCTCTGTCACAGAATAGATACAGGACCAGAAGTGTCACTCGGACGGTATTTTGTCCGAAATTTTACGAGTGCTGACGTGAAAATACGCCATCATATGACGCCATCCTGGAGTGCACACGGACGTTTTTCATAGGAAAACATAGGTACAAAGTGCCGGGTGCACTCCAGGATGGCGTCATAGCACGCAAATTGAAAAAAATTTTGGACGTTTTCCTTCAGCCAAAACAAATAGGAGTGACACTTTTGGTCCGGTATCTATTCTGTGCCTCTGTACACCCCCACCTATAAATCCGCCACTGTGTTGGGACCACAGTATAGGAAAACTACAGTAGGGCCACTCAGCGTATGAAAGTGTCCACATTGTTTACTGGCTGCCAACCTAATTTACATATTGGCAGCCAGAAAGCCAGTAAACGGCAGCAGTTCAATATAAAATTGTATTACAGAATGATTTTGGTCGCGTAAGACACCTGGGATCTAGCTTAAATAATTGCCACTTTTCTCTCCCCTAAGAGTGGCCCTACTGGTTGTCTCGGTTGGGACACTCTGAATAAGGCAAGGGGTGTACCACAAACAACTTACTGTGTTACCTACTCAAACTTGTTTTTATGTCCATAGATAATATGCTTCATAGCATCCGTTATGTTCGGCGTGGATGCATTCCTCAACTTCAAGTTATTCCGAAGCAAAGAAACACCATCAGCAGGGCCGCCCGCTGTACCCACATAAACTGGATAGATATAAAAAAAATTTACGCTTGCAACATTAGATTCCGGTAGTTTTAAAAGTTAGTTTTCTAGATTATGTAGTCCATTCATTGCATGTTAATTATGCATAATTCATAAGCTAGTCTGAAAGATGTGTATTTGAGTTCTTTAAACAGTTATGTATTGTTACTTGTTAGGATGCTTTTATTATACTGAAACCAACTGAGCGAACAATTTCAAAAAGTATAGAATTCGAAGATTAGGATCTTGAAACTCAAGATATGAATCAAAACAAAACGAGAATGAGTTAACTTTGTGTTATTTCGATTTTATTCCAAAATCATCACAGGGCAGAGCAGGCCGTTTACAACATTTGCCTAAAACTGTCGCATACAACCTGCTTACAACTTGAGACAACTTGAGTGGCAAGATGGCGTATATGCACAAGGCGCGCTGCAAAAGGTGTATAATATACATGGTCTTTTATCGAAATATCAAAACTCATTCTCGTTTTGTTTTGACTCATAACTTGAGTTTCAAGTTCTTCCTGTTGTCAAAACTGCTCTCAGATGATGCAGGAAATGGCATTTCTACGTGTATTCCGCAAGCCATAGGAAATCAAAAAATTTTTGGGGTAGTGGACCAACTCCTCCCCCCCCCCCGGCCCCTACTTTAGCGCTCGACTTAAAATCCTAGTTACGGGTCTGAATCACACATATTGTGCAAAAAGAATTACCAAACTAAAGTTCTAGACTTTAAAATATATAGTATTTTATGAATAGGTATTTCATCATATTTTAGTATCCTGTCTTTTCGACAATATCAGAACATATTTTCGCTATTGTTTTATGTTGAGTGAATATATTAGTCGTGTATATATGACGGTATATAAGAAGGGTATTTTAAAGTTGATATGTTGCATATCTATATATTACAAGAAGACTGTGAAACAAGCGTGAATTCGTGCCAACACTGCAGTAATACGGTATGTATGTAGATAGATATGTTAGAAATATTCTAGTAATTGAATAAAGTAATACAATGCAAAAATTCCCTGAGTATTTTGACTCAAGAACGTGAGCTATCGACTAGTCATTGGGGACTGGTAGCGAGTTTTGTCCAATTTAATCTTCGAGTTCGAATCCCGCTCTTACAGTTATTAGTGAAAAGAAAAAATATACAAAAGCATGCAATAACTAACCGTTAAGCAGGGGTCATCCTAAGCCTAATGCCTCCCATTTTCCAAAATAGTTATAGAACGAAAACTTAAAATGGGCAGTTCTAAAATTGAGTCTTCGAGCTATATATGATAATTAGTTATAAATTTATTTAAGGCAAAAGCAAATATTTAAAATATTTAAAGGCAAAACCAAATGTCTCTCTGAAAACGCAGGAAAAGGTCATTCTGCAGCACTTCTAAAATTCAAAATTTTCCGAGGGAACCCCTATAGCTATTCAGGTATTCAATACGCCATGACCTCGAACTCTCGTTACTGCCACACAGTTAGCCTGTGTTCACTACCTCACAGTCTGTGCTAGTCGAAATGAGACTGAGTCCTAAATTTTTCTTAGGGTGACCCCTGCCGTTAAAATAATCTGTTTTGGAAAGTTATAAGAAAAGAGCAAACCAACTATACGCCAAAACCCCAACCCATTTCGAAGGAAGTTTTTTCGCTAGAGATTAGTAATCCCACTGCAAAACTTTGTTCAATGGACCATTCCCCAATTAACCAAAATTTTGAACTCAACAAGTCTAGACAAAATTCCATTATAGCATGAAAGAGCATCACAAAATTAGTAATCGTTGCGAAATGTTGTAAAATGCGGATGATATAGCCTTGCGAAATTTGCAATTTTCAGTCATTTTGTATTACGCACAGAAGTGGTAACCATTTCCCGTTTGTAATCTAAAATGACTGAAAATTGCAAACTTCGCAAGCCTATATTATCTGCATTTTACAACATTTTGCAACGAAACTTTGGAATATTACTAATTTTGTGATGATCTTTCAAGCTGTGATGAAATTTGTCTAGACTTGTTGAGTTCAAAATTTTGGTTAATTGGGGAATGGTTCATTAAGTCATTCAATATATTTCTCACCAGTCGACTTTTTTGTAGATTCAATAATCAATATGGCTGGACTTGGGAGAGGATGCGACTACTTCAAGTCTTTTCCGGGGATCTTAAAAATTATTGAATTTGTAAGTTTTGTGGCCTCTTTCTCCCTGCCTTCTGGAAAAATCTGAATTTTTGTTGCAACACTTGAATCGAATATTACAATACAGGAAAAATGTCGAGTGTCCATTCAGTAAAATCTCAATCTTATTAAAAGGCCAACCATATAAGGTTATACGACTTTTGTGTGATATTTATTATTTTTATTATATTTTGTGTTGTAGTGGTTTTTGAAAGGGGCAAAATATATCTTTATGTAACGCGTAATCCGTTTAACCATTTAAAGTGATGTACTTACAAAAATTTAATGCACAAAAAGTAGAAAAATATAAGTTTCTGAGTTTAATACTGAAGTTTACACACAAGTTTTCGTTGCGCAAAGCAATATATAATATCGTGCGCAAAGCAATAATTTTGACCCAATTTGATCACTGACGGATCAAATGCCTCAAGGCCTGGTCAAACGAGAGTTGATAATAGTTGACAAGTGGGAGTTTGCATAAAAGTTTCCTCAACTTTCATGCCCCGGTGAACAAGAGTTGCGTGAGAGTTGATGAAAGATTTTTTAGGAACTTTATTGGGTTAACTACCAACATACTTACAGAAAGAACACAACAAATTTTAAGACTAACATAAAATAGGCAAAAGAACCCAGACAGGATAAGTAGAATGGGACACTATAGGTCCTATGCAGCAGTCCCACCGGGGGGGGGAGCGGGCGGGGGGGGGCGCTTTGCCCCGTCACCCTTAACATTTCTTGATACAAGATTACTTAACTGAGAATATAAATCCTGCTGCGTTAGTACTGGATAATATGCAATAAAGTGTAATATGGGGTAAAACACCTCTTCCCCCGTTTTACAATCATGGCACCCCCGGGAAAGTTTTGGCCCGGGCACCGTGCAACCTTTTCTGCGGTCCTGCACCAGACGGACGGATGATCGGTCTCTAGAACTATTCCAATCATTCGTTTTCCCCTTTAGATTGTATTACTGATCGCACTTGGCTCAGTAGGATATTTCTTTGAAAAAATGGGAAGTAACACGTCGAAGACAGACAACCTGAAGTTTTTCCTCTTCGTGATTATTGTGGCCTGGATCCTAGTCATGGCGTTCTGGCTCAACTTCGTCAGCGGTCTGTATGAAAAAATGAGCGCCATTAACTGGCCACTGGTCGTAAGTACTCCTTAGTCCAGGTCACAGAATAAAGACATACAGAAGTGTATCTTCTTATTAAAAGTGCGTAAGGATTTTTTCAGTCCGCCATGTTCTTAGCAAGTGCCCTAAAGAGAGGCAGTCACCCCCCTGAAAACATATTGAAAATTTAATATTCCAGGGGGGTGAATGCCTCTCTTTAGGGCACTTGCTAAGAACATGGCCGCCAGCTATTTCGGTAAAAAGCGCCTTACGGTTTTGTAATGGAAGTTACACTTCTGTATGTCTTTATTCTGTGTCCAGGTATACATACGTAAAAACGCGCGCAAGTTGTAACAAACCTGCAACAGGCTTGTAACAATGCTGTTCCAACAACTTGTCATCGGGATGTGTTCGCACTGCTTGTTCCCAGCTTGTTGACACGCCGTCAATGGCTTGTTGACAATGACAAATTACTTGCTACAAGGTTGTTGAACTCGAAAGACTTGTTACAAGTTGTTCCAACAACTTGTTATCGTCCTGCAATTCAACAATTTGTCAACAAGTTGTGAATGACCACCTTGTAGCAACTTGATAAAATAACAGTACTCTTACAACTTGTTTAAAAGCTTGAAAACTCAGCGTTCCTGAGACAACAATCGCATTTCATACGAAACAAAACGTTTTTGAATTTGTGTGAAGATAAAGTTATATTGTCCCAACAATGTTTTGGAAGGTGGGAAAACACTAAATATTTCCTTGTAACAGGGCGGAAATATTTGAATTTTTGCAATTTGTACAAGCATATAATTTATTATGGGTATGGGGCTCCTGGGCTGAATGTTGTTGCATTTCGTTGCTAGGACGCGGTGGTGTTCGCAGTTTGGGCAGTACTGTTGCTTATCTCCTCTGCACTTATGGCAGACGCTGTGAAATATTACGAAGACAGCAAATTCTGTGCACTGCTGGAAGACGCTAACACAAAACAACAATGTGAACATCTCATTGTTGGAACGGTAGGTTGAAAAATCATAGATATTCCGCCTATTTTTGCTCGTACCGCGTTTCTATCAAACTTGACTTCTACTATTGAATACTGCGTTACCTCTCACTGGCTCAACGGGCATCTGATTGGTTAATCAGGTACATTGAAAGCATCTGATTGGTTAATGCCTTAATGATATTGGATGAAATTTACGCTGGCTGAGAATTACTCACGTAATTAAAATCACCTAAAATATTATTATAATCAGGTATCAACTTACTCTGAGTGTATATCCATACCGGGCAGGCTTGAAAAATATGCCTGGCCACGGTGGGATTCGAACCTACGACCTTTGGAATACTAGCCCAATGCTCTGCCAACTGAGCTACGCGGTCAGGTCGGTTCGAGTATGCGATATTTCGGAACTGAGTCTAGTTCCTTCGCTATCAGTGTCATCTAATAATCATGATATTTGTTGTGTTGGTGTAATGTACTCAGGTGAATATGATGCTTGTGTGATGTTACTCCGAGTGTATATCCACACCGGGCAGGCTTGAAAATATGCCTGGCCACGGTGGGATTCCAACCTACGACCTTTGGCATACTAGCCCAATGCTCTGCCAACTGAGCTACGCGGTAAGGGTGGTGTGAATCATCCTTACTTGCAGCTGAGAGCTAGGCTGAATCGCGAAGGACGCAGCTCAACCTGATCTAGTCGAAAGCTTTCTAACAGCCACCTTAATTATGACTCATGTCTGATCAGGGAGTACATACCAACACAGCAAATATCATGATTATTAGATTACACTGATATCGAAGCCGACTAGACTCGGTTCCGAAATATCGCATACTCGAACCGACCTGACCGCGTAGCTCAGTTGGCGGAGCATTGGGCTAGTATTCCAAAGGTCGTAGGTTCGAATCCCACCGTGGCGTGGCCAGGCATATTTTTCAAGCCTGCCCGGTGTGGATATACACTCAGAGTAACATCACACAAGCGTAAGTGTCATGTGTTCACAGCAAGCCGCATGGCACAGAAGCCCCTAAAAGTTTCATACCAACATATGCTTGTGTTTTTCTAGATCTTTGGCTTCATAGCAATGGTGTTGTTTATCGTTGACTCCGTTATACATTTTCTGATACGTAACGTGCGCTCGACCACAACCACTACCACCACAACGATTACAGTAGGCTAGATAGAACTTTGAGTTGATTGAAACTTTTCTTGTACTTTTATATCTAGTTTTTTCATGACTCATATGTTTTACGATGCGTTAAATAAGAGCACAGAATATAGTATTACATAAGTATGCCTACATGCGTCTATCATGTGCAAGTTCCGAGAGCCACAATAAAAAGTTGCAAACTATGTCTACTTGTTTTTCTTTGTACATGCAGATGTAATAGACTGTCTCTTTATTAGGATTTGGGGTATCTCACTCCATATAACTACTCGTTGAAGGGCCCGAAACAGTTTCGAATGGAATTTTTATAAATAGACCACTCTCCTCCGCAGAGGCTTTGTACTGTTTGTAGTTGGAAGAATATGCAGTTTGTTTTCGGCAGGCTAAAAGCGAACGCACGGGGTTAAAAGGGGGGCATCGTGGACATTTGGAGATAGTAGGGAATCACATTACCAAGCTCGCGGTGGAAGACATTCTTCCCGTCACCCCCCCCCCCCCCCCCCCCCCCCCCCCCCCCCCCCCCC